TTTTTCATTGTTCTTCTTTTTTCTGCTTCTGCCGTGATTGCAGCAGGGCTGTAACGCCCGTTGGAAGGCTTAAGGCATCCTTAGACACTCCTCGGGGACGCGAAATCCCCAAGGAATTGTTCGTTCCACCTATCCTCGGGGATGCAATCCGAAAAAAAAAGTGAAAACACTCATAAGGAAATTCCTCGGGCATTAGGAATTTCTCCAGTCATTTCTTCCTTGTGCCCTTGGGCACAAGGAATCCACATTTCACGGAGAGGAGAGGGCACACGGGTAGATAGACGCTACAGCCTAGAATCTGGATCGTGGCGGCACCCTATTGGCTGAAGGCCTGAAGCACAACTGTTTTCTTTTTTTTCTTTCCTTTTTATTTCTGACATCAGTCTTAGGAAATGTCCTCGGGCGACGTCCCCAAGGACAGGTGGAACGAAGAGCCCAAATCTCCTTTTGAGCTATTATGAATCTTTCCCATTGCCCGAGGATTTCAATAGGAGTGTCTAAAGACGCCCTTAGTCTCACTTGTACCCCAGGTTCTGTATCTAGATGCTTTCGGGTCCCTAGCGCTGTGTGTGTTTTTCTTTTTTGTTGTTGTTATTATTATTATTTTTTCCATTTGCAACAAGTACCATAAAAGAAAATACAATGGGACTCGGGCTCCGCAAAACTCGGTGCGGAGTGAAATTCAGAGTTGGGAAAAACAGGATCGGAGGTAGTGGTGGTTTAAAGAGAACAACCCGGGCAGGTGCTAGAGGTGCTTATATTGGAGGGAATGCTTTTTTTCCCCCCTTGTGAAGAAATATTGACGACTTAATGACTTCGACCTGGGCTACCAACCGGGCTGGTCGAGTTGCCTTAGATTGGCCCGGTTGGCCCAGCTGGGTCAAGTCCAAGCCAAGTCCCAGTCAAGGTCCGCGAAGACTCCTATCAAGCAAAATTATAAATCAAACGAAATTTGGTGAAAAGGTCACCCCAGAATTTGTTATAAAATCCAAAATTAAAACTAATATGAACTATCAAATATAAGCCTCTTTGAACCCCTCTTACATTCCCCATAAACACCCTTTGTGTATACATCGCCAAATTCAAATATAAGCCTGTCGGCATCTCTCTCTCTCTCTCTCTCTCTCTCTCTCTCTCTCTCTCTCTCTCTCTCTCTCTCTCTCTCTCTCTCTCT